CCCCCCATTTTTCGGGAATGCCGCTGATCCCGGGTTTCTCCCCCCTCCCCCCAGGCTGGGTGGGGGTGGGGCTGCGGCGCGGGGCGCCCCCCGCGGCCCCTCTGCTGGGCTGTGCCCAGGCGCTGCTGCTGGAGCAGCTGCTGGGGGAGGGGCTGGGGGCCGGGACCCCCCTGGGCCGCAGCCTGGAGCCCCTCCAGAGGAGACTCCGCAGCTGCCGTGAGCAACTGGGGAATTTTGGGGAATTTTGGGGGTTAAAATGGGATTTTTTGGGGGATTTTTAGGGGTTAAAATGGGATTTTTGGGGGATTTTGGGGGTTAAAATGGAAATTTGGGGTTTTTACGGGTTACAATGGGAATTTTTTTTTATTTTTAGGGGTTAAAATGGGATTTTTGGGGGGTTTTTAGGGGTTAAAATGGGATTTTTAAGGGTTAAAATGGGATTTTTTGGGCGGTTTTTAGGGGTTAAAAGGGGATTTTTGGGGGGTTTTTAGGGGTTAAAGTGGGATTTCTTTTATTTTTAGGGGTTAAAATGGGATTTATGGGCGGTTTTTAGGGGTAAAAATGGGATTTTAAGGGTTAAAATGGGATTTTTTGGGGGATTTTTAGGGGTTAAAATGGAAATTTGGAGGGTTTTAGGGTTTAAAATGGGATTTTTGGGGGGATTTTGGGGCTTAAAATGGGATTTTTTGGGATTTTTAGGGGTTAAAATGGGAATTTTAAGGGTTAAAATGGGATTTTTTGGGGGATTTTGGGGGTTAAAATGGGATTTTTTTTGATTTTTAAGGGTTAAAATGGGATTTTTGGGGGGGTTTTTAGGGGTTAAAATGGGATTTTTGGGGGGTTTCTAGGGGTTAAAATGGAAATTTGGGGGATTTGGGGGAATTTTGGGGGAATTTTATGGGATTTTTGGGGGGATTTTGGGATTTTTTGGGAATTCTTAGGTGTTAAAATGGGATTTTTTTGGAATTTTAGGGGTTAAAATAGAAATTTGGGGGAATTTTTGGGGTGATTTGGGGATTTTTTGGGAATTTTGGGGGGTTTGATTGCAATTTTTTTAAGGGGGTTTAGGGAGGATTTGGGTGGAATTTTGACAATTTTGGGAATTCCAGTTGGATTCTGGGGGGAATTTTGGGAATTCTGGGTGGATTTTGGAGGAAATTTTGGGCGGATTTGGGGAAAGATTTGGGAATTCTGGGTGGATTTTGGAGGGAATTTTGGACGGATTTGGGGAAAAATTGGGAATTCTGGTGGATTTTGGGGGAATTTTGGGTGGAATTGGGGAAAAATTGGGAATTCTGTGTGGATTTGGGGGGAATTTTGGGAATTCTGTGTGGATTTTGGGGGGAATTTTGGGCGGAATTGGGGAAAAATTGGGAATTCTGTGTGGATTTTGGGGGGAATTTTGGGCAGATTTGGGGAAAAATTGGGAATTCTGTGTGGATTTTGGGGGAATTTTGGACGGATTTGGGGAAAAATTGGGAATTCCGGGTAGATTTTGGGGGGATTTTTGGGCGGATTTGGGGAAAAATTGGGAATTCTGTGTGGATTTTGGGGGAATTTTGGGAATTCTGTGTGGATTTTGGGCGGATTTGGGGAAAAATAGGGAATTCTGGTGGATTTTGGGGGGAATTTTGGGCGGATTTGGGGAAAGATTGGGAATTCTGGGTGGATTTTGGGAATTCTGGTGGATTTTGGGGGAATTTTGGGAATTCCGGGTGGATTTTGGGAATTCCGGGGGTGACTCCTGTCCCTCCCCTCCCCCAGCGCCGGGCGCGGTTCCCTGGGGGGTCCTGGCCGAGACCTCGCGGCTCTTCCGGGACCTTGGCCCCGCCCTCCTGCGAGGTTGGTATCGCCTCTGTCGCAACAGAGCCCTGAAAATGGCGACAAAACCCCCCAAAAACCCACTTCCGGTTCACTTCCGGGTTCTACTTCCTGCTTCCGGTTTTGGTTTTTTATTACTGAGATGATTTCCGGGGTTTCCACTTCCTGCTCTGATAATTGCATCACTTCCTGTGGTACTTCCGGTTTGGTTCCTGCTTTTGGTTTTGGTTTTTTTTGGTCATTGAGACACTTCCGGGGTTTGGCTTCCGGGTTGGGTAATGGCGTCACTTCCGGTAGCACTTCCTGGTTGCTAATCAGGGATTTTTTGGGAATTTTTGGGGGATTTGGGATTTCCGGGAGGGATTTCAGGAGAATTTGGGGGATTTTGGGGTGGATTTGGGGGATTTTGGGGCAGATTTTTGGGGAATTTTAGGGAATTTTGGGTGAATTTGGGGAGGAAATTCGGGCTGGAATTATAGCGAATTTTTGGAGGATTTCCTGGAATTTGGGACAATTTTGGGAGGAATTGGGTGAAATTTCGGGCTGAGTTTTTTTGGGGCAGATTTTTGGCTGGATTTTGGGGAGGAATTTGGAGATTTGGGGGGATTTCCGTGGATTTTGTGGAATTTTGGGAAGATTTTATTGAATTTTAGGGAACTTTGGGTGGATTTTGTGGAATTTGGGGGAATGTGGGAGGATTTCTGGCATTTTGGGATTTTGGGTGATTCGGTGGAATTTTGGGCCCTTTTGGGGGAACTTTCTGGAATTTGGGACGATTTTGGTGGAATTTGGGTGAATTTTATGGAATTTTGGAGCTTTGGGGGTGAAACCTCCACTCATTTTGTGGAATTTGTGGAATTTCCTCGGATTCCTGGGAATTCCAGGACTCTTGGGTGGGTTTCTCAAAGAGAAATCCCCAAAAAAGCCACTTCCGGTGCCACTTCCGGTTCGCACTTCCTGGTTGGTCGCTCACCGTGCTGGCGCCCCCTGCAGGGCTGGAGGCCGCCGGCTGGGACACGAAGCGCCCCCTGCTGGCCGTGGACGAGTGGACCCTGGAGTGGGCGGAGCCAGCACAGGCCACGCCCCTTGAGTGAAACCACGCTCCCCCTCACGAGGCCACGCCCACTTTTGGGATCAAAGGGGCGGGAATGGCCCCGAAAAATAAAAATTTTACGGAATTTTGGTGGAATTTTGGTGCTTTTGGGTGGAAATTGGGGAATTCCGGGAGGGTTTGGGGGAATTTGGGAGATTTTGAGTGGATTTGGGGAAATTTTTTGGAGTTTCTGGTGGATTGAAGTGAAATTTTGGAAGGATTTTGGGGAGATTTTGGGTGGAATTGGGGAAATTTGAGATAATTTTTTTCGACTCTGGTGAATTTTGGCTGAAGTTTGTGTTTTGGAAGAGAAATTTGGGGAATTTGGAGGAATTCTGGGAGATTTTGGGTGGATTTGGGGCCATTTTGGAATATTTTGGTGGATTTTGGGTGGAAATTGTGGAATTTGGGCGATTTTGGGTGGAATTGAGAGAATTCGGTCTTCAACATTTTTAATTGGAGTCAATTTTGGGTGGATTTGAGGAATTTTGGGTCAATTTTGGGGCGTTTTGTCTCATTTTGGGTTGATTTGAGTCAATTTTGGGCTCATTTTGGGGAATTTTGGGTCATTTTTGCTCCTTTTGGGTTGATTTCAATTTGGGCTCCATTTTGGGCTGATTTTGGAGCATTTTCATCCAATTTCTCAACTTTTTTGTCAATTTTGTTCCATTTTGGATCATTTAGGGTAATTTTGGGGTGATTTAAGTCAATTTTGGGTGGATTTTGGGGCGTTTTGCCTCACTTTTTGGCATTTTCTTCTCATTTTTGGGCATTTTTCCCACATTTTCCACCATTTGACCCTGGAGTGGGCAGAGCCAACACCAGCCCACACCCCTGAGTGAAGCCACGCCCCCTCACGAGACCACGCCCACTTTTAGGATAAAAGGGGCGGGATGGCCCCGAAAAATAAAAATTTTACGGAATTTTGGTGGAATTTTGGTGCTTTTGGGTGGAAATTGGGGAATTCCGGGAGGGTTTGGGGTGAAAATTTGGGAGATTTTGAGTGGATTTGGGGAAATTTTTTGGAATTTCCGGTGGATTGAAGTGAAATTTTGGGGGAATTTGGGGTGAAAATTTGGGAGATTTTGAGTGGATTTGGGGAAATTTTTTTGAATTTCTGGTGGATTGAAGTGAAATTTTGGAAGGATTTTGGGGAGATTTTGGGTGGAATTGGGGAAATTTGAGATAATTTTTTTCGACTCTGGTGAATTTTGGGTGAAGTTTGTGTTTTGGAAGAGAAATTTGGGGAATTTGGAGGAATTCTGGGAGATTTTGGGTGGATTTGGGGCCATTTTGGAATATTTTGGTGGATTTTGGGTGGAAATTGTGGAATTTGGGCGATTTTGGGTGGAATTGAGAGAATTCGGTCTTCAACATTTTTAATTGGAGTCAATTTTGGGTGGATTTGAGGAATTTTGGGTCAATTTTGGGGCGTTTTGTCTCATTTTGGGTTGATTTGAGTCAATTTTGGGCTCATTTTGGGGAATTTTGGGTCATTTTTGCTCCTTTTGGGTTGATTTCAATTTGGGCTCCATTTTGGGCTGATTTTGGAGCATTTTCATCCAATTTCTCAACTTTTTTGTCAATTTTGTTCCATTTTGGATCATTTAGGGTAATTTTGGGGTGATTTAAGTCAATTTTGGGTGGATTTTGGGGCGTTTTTCCTCACTTTTTGGCATTTTCTTCTCATTTTTGGGCATTTTTCCCACATTTTCCACCATTTTGGGGTCAATTTGTGACATTTTTGACTCATTTTAAGCCATCTCAGAACAATTTTGGGTCATTTTCATCAAATTTTCCACCAATTTGGGAAAATTCTGAGTTCTTTTTGCTGGATTTTGGCTCAATTTTTGGGGCATTTTCACTGATTTTTTAGGCGTTTTTCACCATTTTTTTGCCCTTTTTTTTGCCCATTTCGGGAAAAATTCAAGATTTGGGATAATTTTGGGTTTATTTCGGGGGATTTCAGGCAAAATATCCCCACAGGAAGGCGGCCACGCCCATCAGCACCAGGGCGTTGATGTCGACAATTCGGCTCCATTTGGGATCCTCGGGGGGCGGGGCTTCGCTCGAGGCCCCGCCCATCTCTTCGGCCACGCCCCCAGCTCCAGGCTCCGCCCCCGGAGCCGCTTCCAAGTCTGGAATAGAGAAAAAATTTGGGGTCAAAAATCCCCAAAATCCCAAAAATTTGGGGCTCCAGAATCAGGTGGGAGCTCCAAAAATCCCTTGGGGCCCGAAATTTGGGGCTCCAAACCCCCAAATTCCCAAATTTTGGGACCCCTGGACATCAAAAATCCCCAAATTTGGGAACCCCCCACACCTGGGAACACCCAAAACCCCAAATTTGGATTCAAAAAACCCCAAAACCCCAAAATTTGAGTCCCCAAAATCCCAAATTTGGGTCCTCAAGACCCCAAAAGTCCCAAATGTGAGACCCCAAATTCTCCAAGTCCCCAAAAATCCCAAATTTGGGTCCCAAAACTCCAAACTTTGGGACCCCCAACTGCCCTGAACCCCCCAAAATCCCCAAATTTGGGACCCCAAGACCCCAAAAATCCCAAATTTGGATTTCCACAACCCCCCCAAATCCCAAATTTGGATGTCAAAGACCCCACAAATCTCAAATTTGGACCCCAATCTCCCAAAATTTGGATTCCAAATTACCCTGGGCTCCCCACAATCCCAAATTTGGGTCCCAGGACCGAAAAAACTCCCAAATTTGGATCCCAAAACCCCAAAATTTCGGGTCACTGAGACCCCAAAAACCCCAAACCCACAAAATTTGACGTCCCAAGATTCCCCCAGCCCCCCCAAAATCCCAAATTTTCATCCCCAAACCCCAAAATTTGGGACCCCAAATTTGGGTCCCAGGACCGAAAAAACTCCCAAATTTGGATCCCAAAACCCCAAAATTTCGGGTCACTGAGACCCCAAAAACCCCAAACCCACAAAATTTTGCGTCCCAAATTCCCCCAGCACCCCCAAAACCCAAAATTTTCATCCCCAAACCCCAAAATTTGGGACTCCAGCTTCCCCCAGACCTGCCAAAATCCCAAATTTTTACCCAAAAACGATTTTGCGTCCCAAATTCCCCCAGCACCCCCAAAACCCAAAATTTTCATCCCCAAACCCCAAAATTTGGGACCTCAGCTTCCCCCAGACGCCCCAAAATCCAAATTTTTACCCAAAAACCCCAAAAATTAGGTCCCCAAATTCCCCTGGACCTCCCAAAAATCCCAAAATTTGGGGTTTTCCCCCTCTTACCCCCGAGCTGCACCCCCGGATTTTGGGGGGGCTCCTTGGGCGTGTCCAGGTCGATTCGGGGCTCGCGGCTGTTCCGGAGGCTGAACACCAACCTGTGCAGCTGGGAGCCAAAATTCCCAAAAATCCACCCAAAATTCCGTGAAATCGACCCCAAATCCACAAAGTCTGACCCAAAATTCGGTGAAATCGACCCCAAAAATAGCAAAATTAACCCAAAATTCATAAAAATCGACCCAAAATTCACAAAGTTTGACCCAAAATTTGGTGAAATCGACCCCAAAAATGGCAAAATTAACCCAAAATTCATAAAAATCGACCCAAAATTCTCAAAGTTTGATGCTAAATTTGGTGAAATCGACTCCAAAAATGGCAAAATTGACCCAAAATTCATAAAAATCGACCCAAAATTCACAAAGTTTGACCCAAAGTTTGGTGAAATCGACCCCAAAAATGGCAAAATTAACCCAAGATTCATAAAAATCGACCCAAAATTCACAAAGTTTGACGCTAAATTTCGTGAAATCGACTCCAAAAATGGCAAAATTGACCCAAAATTCGTAAAAATAGACAAAAAAATCAATAAAATCGAGGCCAAAAATGGCAAAATCAACCCTAAAAGCGGCAAAATGGACACAAAATTCATAAAATTGCACCCAAAATTCATTTAAATCGACCCAAAATTCACAAAGTTTGACGCTAAATTTCGTGAAATCGACTCCAAAAATGGCAAAATTGACCCAAAATTCGTAAAAATAGACAAAAAAATCAATAAAATCGAGGCCAAAAATGGCAAAATCAACCCTAAAAGCGGCAAAATGGACACAAAATTCATAAAATTGCACCCAAAATTCATTTAAATCGACCCAAAATTCACAAAGTTTGACGCTAAATTTCGTGAAATCGACTCCAAAAATGGCAAAATTGACCCAAAATTCGTAAAAATAGACAAAAAAATCAGTAAAATCGAGGCCAAAAATGGCAAAATCAACCCTAAAAGTGGCAAAATGGACACAAAATTCATAAAAATCCACCCAAAATTCAGAGAAATCGACCCAAAATTCACAAAGTTTGACCCAAAATTTGGTGAAATCGACCCCAAAAATGGCAAAATTAACCCAAAATTCATAAAAATCGACCCAAAATTCACAAAGTTTGACCCAAAATTTGGTGAAATCGACCCCAAAAATGGCAAAATTAACCCAAAATTCATAAAAATCGACCCAAAATTCACAAAGTTTGACCCAAAATTTGGTGAAATCGACCCCAAAAATGGCAAAATTAACCCAAAATTCATAAAAATCGACCCAAAATTCACAAAGTTTGACCCAAAATTTGGTGAAATCGACTCCAAAAATGGCAAAATTAACCCAAAATTCATAAAAATCGACCCAAAATTCACAAAGTTTGACGCTAAATTTGGTGAAATATTGACTCCAAAAATGGCCAAACTGACCCAAAATTTGGCAAAATCCACCCAAAAACTGGAAAAATTGACCCAAAATTCATAAAAATCGCCTCATTAATCAGTAAAATCGAGGCCAAAAATGGCAAAATCAACCCTAAAAGTGGCAAAATGGACACAAAATTCATAAAAATCCACCCAAAATTCATTTAAATCGACCCAAAATTCACAAAGTTTGACGCTAAATTTGGTGAAATATTGACTCCAAAAATGGCCAAACTGACCCAAAATTTGGCAAAATCCACCCAAAAACTGGAAAAATTGACCCAAAATTCGTAAAAATAGACAAAAAAATCAGTAAAATCGAGGCCAAAAATGGCAAAATCAACCCTAAAAGTGGCAAAATGGACACAAAATTC